AGCCCTGGGGTCCACATAAAAAAATATATTTTAAAAGATGAGGGGAAAAAAAAAGAGTAGACTGCTAAAAAAAAATCTCACAGTCTGTGTTTATTTGGACTTCTAAGTGGTGTATTCAGTGAAAGCCCCAGGGACTCAAGGTCCCTCATGGCTGCTCTGAGTGCGTGTTCGCCTCAGTCCGCCTCTTCCCAATTCTGGATGATTTGCTATACTTTGGGGGATGTGTAAAAATAACTGTACTTCTCCCTACATATATCACTAAAGATGCACAAAGAGCATTGCTCTGGGGAATGGAGAAAGTACCGAGGGCAGAAAGCGGCTTTAACGACAGCCCGCACAGTGCGGCGGGGCCGGAGGCCGGAAGCGAGGCCGGAGGCCGGAAGCGAGGCTCCCTCTCACGGCCGCAGAAGCCGCTCGCAGAGGACCTGGTAGAGAACCAACGCTCTTAGAGCCGCCCTTCCTGGCTCGCCTCCCTGTGACAGTCCACAGGGAGTCCTGACCTACGAGACCCGATGTCTCCTTGCTCTCCGCTCCCAGCACACGCCGCAGGATTTCCGTGTCTAAGACTGACGGGTGTGAACCCAGGTACATTCAGCCTCTCTCGCCGGGACCATCAGGATGATGGCGGATTCGTCTTATTAGAGAATGTTAAGTAAGACCTATAAACGTTCTTTGATATGCTTAGAAGCTATGCAGTGAAGTGCTGTTCAAAAGTCCCAGGGTTAATTAAAGAATCAAGGAAATCAAGGAGGAAAACCCAGGAATCCAGCTATGGGCAGGTCTCTTCACTAACCGTCAGTCCGCAGATGGAACTAACTACGCAGAGTGTCCCCTGACTTCCGACAGTCTGACTTGGGATTTTCTGACTTTATAATGGTCAAATCAATATGCATTCAGTAGAAACCGTGCTTCATATTTTGAATGTTGACCTTTTCTAGCTAGCGACCTGTGGAAGGATGCTCCCTCGGGATGCTGGGTGGCGATCGTGAGGGTTAACGGCGGGTACCCGGGGTGTATTCACGGCGTTAGAGGATTCTGCCCGCTGCAGGCAGGGGCAGGGTGGCAGGGCTGCACGCTGATGGTCAGTGGGTTAGGTGTTTTCATTAAATGCTCTTTTCACTTAAGATATTTTCAATTTACAATGGGTTTATTGGGATGTAAACCCCCATCATAAGTCGAGGACCATTTGTACATATCATGAAATAATGACCGAAATGACTCTGAAGCATAATTCCTGGTGGCTGCTCGGTTATGCTTCTGTTAGGATGGGCCTAAGAGAACTAGGTGACACGTTGGATATACCAGTTAGCAACGAGATTTAAGGACAGTTTTTCATTCTGTTATCAGGATGTTCTTAACAGCACGTAGGACAATCACGACCAGCTCCGCTAAGTGCCTTGTTGATATGCCTGGCACATCCGGGTCTGCCACAGTCTTCTGTATGGACTGTGGGGTAACTGTGGTCTGGATGACCCCGGGGAGCAAGAGCAATGCACTGAATCAGTCTCCAATGGTTTCGAAGGCTCCCCAAGTCCTGGGTGGCCTGGTCAAGATGCTATGGGAGAGAGGGAAGAAATGGAAAATTCAGCACAGCCCCTGCCTCTGAGAATCTCAGTCTATAGTGAAAACAACGAAAGTGCCCATGTAAAAAAAAATCAGCGTAACATAGGAAGCATGAATTCATAAACCGACAACGGTCTCTCTGGTGGCACGGAGTCAGTCCCAGGGACAAGGCACTGAGTCAGGCTCCGAGGAAGAGCCAAGAATGCTGTCACATAGTATGGGGCACACACCTCGGGGGTGGTGGGTGGAAGCAGAAGGTGAGAATAAGCTCCGCACGCACAGGTTTGTTCAGGAAGGGTCAAGACCCTGTTCCTTACGGGAGAGGAACTCAAGATTTGAAGGCTACAGAGACGTGAAGATGTGACGTACTCTTCAGAAGGAACAGTCTTTGTCAGGGCATCTCCATGATGCTAACATTCTCGAAGGCAAAAACATTTCAGTCCTATCGTCCTAAAATTATAGTGACAACAGTATCTGAAACAAACACCACAGTGGAGTCAGGAAGGCAGGAAGGCCAACCAGAAGGATGTGATGTTCGGGCTGAGGTTGGCGGGAATTAGATTAGCAGTTATTCAGGCAGAAAGGGAAAGCAGATGAATGAGACACTGCCTAATGGACAAAAATCCAGGAAGAAGAAAGAATAGAGATTGCCAAAGAAATTCTGAGTGACTCTCTCCATATCTACCGCTCAAATGCTATCTAAAAGCATATGTTTTTAAGGAATAAGAAATAAACCAACGTATAAGAATTTCATAAACAGGCACGAGGATCACCTCCTTTGTCCCAGCCAGGCCTCCAACAAAGTCGTTCCTAGCTGAGTGTACGCGAGGCCGGGAAAATCAAAGGGCACAAGATGCTGTTTTGGTTGACGAAGTCCTGTAGGTGGCGAGAAGCAGGACTCAGACTGACATTTAGAACTTTCTAGCTCTGAATGCAGCCTTCGCTCCATTAATAGAAAAGGCCTTTAACACGAGCCCCGGAACCTACAATAGAGACATCTGATGTGGTGACATAACCAGACTCAAGTTTGACATGCACTCTGCACCTGTGTGTTAAGCAAAACATCACGCGAGTGTACACACATGCACATGGATACACATACTCACACAGACGCCTGTATGATTCTCACAAACTCCCACACGGGAAGTCACACCATTATGCCAGTTATCGGCTTACAAAACTGGGAACGTGAGAGCAAGGCGCTGAGAGCTCCTCGCTAGGAGAGCTAAGGCTCACCGTCCACGACCTCTCTACTTGCCATGCTGTCTCAGGCTCTCCGTTTGTAAAGCAGGGACCGTAATAACAGAGCTAACTGAAATCTTCAGATAACGTGCGACCCTTTAATCAACACGCTCTGACAAGAACGAAGTATTATCAGAGCAGAGTCTACAGACAGTTCTATTTTCATCCAAGAGTAACACAAACTTCACTCGAGAGCTAGGTCAGCTGCAGCAATACCGTAAATGACACCATAAACCGCACTCAGCGACGTCAGCCATCGCTCTCATCCCTACTGTGAGGGTCCCGGGGGCAGGAAAGCTCACGGCGGAAACGTGTGCCCAGCTCAGCGCCGCGTGCAGCGTACGTGTCTACTGTCATTTCATGGTTAGCAGCGACCAAACAGTGGTGGCCACCAAGGTATCTACGTTTCCCGATAGGAAATCTATACAAAGAGACTCAGCTGACCAGAAAAAAAATGGCTTCAAAGCCAAATTCCTGAAATTTTTTCAAGCAGTCCTTTCTCTTCTCCCGTATTCTTTGATGATGTGCACACAGCCATCGCGAGACAAAACAGAGCTCCCCGGTCTCTGCAGACCAGTATGGGGTACTGATGGCAGCCCTGCTGCTTTCTGAGGGGTGAATAAGGTAGTCGGCAGCAGAAAAATCAGTTTCCTCCTCACCCCATACGGACGCCCTACTGGGACCCAGCGCATGGCCTCGCTTCCAAGCAGCTCGCTGTTCTGACCCTTCCCTGCACCCCGTTATCACAGCCTCTGTGGTGACATCACGTCACCTCCAGCTTCAGATTCCTCGGCGACTCGGCATGGTTTTCAGGACAAAAATCCTAATTCCTCTGAGCGGCTCACATGATGGGCTTCTTACCTTCCTCTCCAAGGCTCTGCCTGCCACTCCCAGCCCCTCCCCCAGTGCCCCGAGCCCCAGCCCGACCCCTCACCCCACTAGGTCACTGTGGGGAAAACTCCCCAGTTCTTCAACCTGGTGCTTTATGTACAGTGAGAACCCAGTAAGTGCCCTTTTAACGGTTAATTGTTTTCTTTAAAAATCTCAGGTATGCATTAGGTGACAGTACAGCAATCACTGAAATTTAAAAATCCCTATTCCGTACTGGCATCCAAAGTGAATTCTCTCGCAGACACGCACACACACACGCACCCGCGCACACACACATATACACGTGCACACACACATATACACGTGCACACGTGCGCACACGCACATACACACACACACGTGCACACCACATGCATACACATGTGTGCGCACACGCACACACACACACACACAGTGCCTTCCCCAGGGACGCCACCGCCTACCTCGTGTTTCATCTGGAAGTTCTGCACAAGGTTGAGGTCGGTGAACATCCGAATGGTGCACAGCGCCGTTTCCAGGTCAGACAGCTCGAAGTCACTGAAGCTGAAGTCAGTGATTTTCAGGGTCTGGGCAGATGGCACCACGGCAGCCTTGGGTTGGGGGAGAAGAGAGACAAGTAAAGCTGCTGGAGCGGCAGTGTCACGGGTCCCCCCACGCTGCCACAGGGACACTGCACGCTGTGTCTCTCCCTGGAATGTAATGCACCGGGAAGCTTTTCATGCAGAACTACTCCCGTTTTTTTTTGTTTTGTTTTTTAGACTGAGCCACACGAGTAACTCACAAGGTTCCGGGAAGCCAGGTGGAGAAGAGAGGGTGACTGCCTCGAGACTGTGCCTGCAGCGGGAGGCAGGGCTGGGGACCCACCGGGCCCCTCTGACTCCCCAGTGCCCTTCACAAGCAGAGAGGGACCGAGTCGCTGTCCTGGGCCCGCCCCGTGCACTGGGCTGGGGATGAGCGGGGAGGCCAGTGAAGACGCTCCAAGCATTTCACACGTAACCCGCAACCACCAGACAAGGTGGACACACGCGCTCCATTTTCCAGGCACAGACACAAGCACAGAGGTGATTCTCTCCCCTACTTTGCGTTTTGGAGGGTTTCTGAATTACCGCCCGTGGTTGCGATTTGATGTCCTTTTACTGCACGTAACACCTGCGGTTTCTTCAAACACCCCTTCGTACCTCCTGCTTTTCCCACGAATCGCCTACTCCGTGTAACTGAGGGTCTCCTTTAATTAAGGCCCAGCTCCTATCCAAAGGGTCAGATGCCCTCCAGAGCTGATCCCGCCTTGGGAACACCGATTAAATGAAATGACGTTGCTGTACCGTGATTTCCTTCTGTCTTCCACTTAGACTGGGATCTGCAGGCTGTACCTTACACGTCTTTGTATCCTTGTGAGAGCTGAAGGATACGGTTTTGATATTTGTTAATATATTTGTTCAATGAATGGGAAAGAAAAATCTCATTCCCTTGCCTTAATCTAAGCCGTAAGTTTCGGTCGTAAGGTCCCCAAGCCCCCTGGTACAGAGAAGCCCTCAACTTGTGTTGAAAAATTAGCAAACCTGGCAGGTGCCTTCCAATCTCGTTTAGTACTAAAATGTTTTTGGAAAATCACCAAATTTGTTATATTGTTTAAAAATTGGGAGATCCTAACCAAAAATAATAGATTTCAGGCTTCTCTGAAAAAATCGGGCGACACTGGGCCCTGATTCCCACGAAGTGACAGTGGTTCCTTCCCTGGACTTTCCTCGACCCCTCCAGACCCGTTAAGTGTCCTGTATCTGGGACATCACTACTCTGCTTTACCCCGGCTTTTACAAAGTAAAAAAGTCAAAACAATAAAATGTTACGGAGCAACCCAGAGTCCCCCAGCGATCTGAGGGCACCCCACCTCCTCATCCTGACCTCCGCATGTTCCAGCGTCACACTCCAAACTAAGAATCTTTTCCCAAGGCCCAAATGCACGAGAAAATATGTGTTCTATTAAGCCGATCCCACAGGCTAATGCGTGGGCTGGACAGGGGAAGAGAGGATTTACAATGTTTGGAGAAAGGGCTTCCTTGCTTCCTCCGGCCCCAACACCAGAGCGGGGGCTGGGGGCTTGGAGTGTGGAGGGGGTGCGGGCCAGCTCTAAGTCCCCTTCCACACACCGCACTGACCGGCCAGCCCGGAACAGATGTTTTTTCCTTAGGGCTTCATTATTCTTAGAGCAGGAAGTCTTCCTTCTTTCCTTCCACTAACGGATATTCTAAATGCCACAGGATAAGGGGGCCAACACAGCTTGAGCCTCTCTCCACCCGACGCTCACCCCAACTCTCCCTCCAGAGAGAAAGCACCTTTGCTTGTCCAGTCACACCACACCACGACCCGACCTCTCCAAGCTGACCTCGTGGGGACAGGCAAACATGTTCCTTCAGAGCCCTCTGGTCAGCGATACAGAGGTTCACGACATTTGGGATCAATGACTAACAAGCGTGAGAAAGTCACACGTCATTTAAAGCTCTCTGGGCCTCATGAGAGAATTCAACTTTCTGTCTGCCTTGAAAGGGCTTGGGCTAAAGGTGATTTTAAATTCTATTTCACAAAACAAAATGTTCTACATTTTACTAATAGCAGGGAATACAGTCTGTGGTATCCTGGGGTCGGGGGCGTGTATACAATTCTGGATTTTTGCAGCTTCTTTTAGTGGCAGTTTGATTTGTTAGAATTTGCAAAGTGGGATTTCCGATTTTGTCTTTTTCCAGGGGAGAATAGAGCTTACTGCACTGTGGTACTGAAGGTGAACAGAAATAACATTTTAAAGATTCTGTAAAGCAATAATAACCCAATCAACCCCCCTGGAACCATGATACTTAGCACCTCGTGCCCCCAATTCCGCTCACCCCTCCACGCGAGGGCATGATGCTGTAACTCCTCAGGCAACAGCATTCTGGTGTTTGAGTGGCTAATCTGAACACAGTTAGGCCCTTCTAGAGTTGGGAGGTTCAACGTGTGTCAAATTAACCGAACACGGAATGCAAAACACACCGAGCTCACTGGGCTAAAGTTGCAGTCTGGGGAGAGCTCAGTAATGCGACCTCACTTTCCTTCTGAGTTCTTTGTTGCATCCGCCACTGAAACCAATAAAGAAACCATGTGCCTCTCCTGCTCCTTCAGAGGAAACTCTCCATTTAAGTCACCATTCTATGACTCTTTTCCTAATGCCTTGGCGCCTTCTTGCAAAAAATAAAAAAATAAAAAAAACCCCAACCGCCTCTCGAAGTAAAATTCAGTGCAGGTGGAAAGGACATCCTTTGAGAGAAGGGCTGGACTGGGTTAGAGGAAGCCAGGCAGAGTTAGGAAAGTATTTTAATTTCTCAGTGATTCTTAAAACCGGTTCAGAATACCATCTGACTAACCAGAGATAAATAAACCGATCACCAGCGGACAAAACCCTAGATCAGCTACCACGTTTGCATTTCGGCATTAGATCACGATCATGAAACAGAAACTTAAAAGCGTGGTACGAGGACTGTTTGCTCTCAAGTCTCGTCTCAGCAGTCGGCCGACTCGCCCAGACGAGGGGCTCCCGTGTCCGCCTGTTTCCTCCCTGTTAAACGAGGAGGCCGGATCGGACTGTCTCTAAGGTTTGAGAGCAGTCGCCTCTCACTCGGGAACCAAATGCCACACCAGGTGGCATCTAAACCTTGCCAACGACCTGCTGGGACAGCGTCTAAGCTCTCTCTCAGCATTTAAGGTAAACGGGCGGGTGCACCTTAGCTGCCACGGCCACGTGGGGTTTCCATGCTTGATTCCACACACACAGTTCTCTGCTTTTAGCAGCTGTGGGTAGGAAGTTACTCAAAAGGGTCATTTCTAGATGATTCCCCTCACATAGAAGAATCGGCTCCTTCACAAACAGAAGGTTTGCATCTGTTCTTACCACACATGGTGGTTTCCCCTCCCAGGAAGTTTGCTCCTACCTGATCTGCTTAGGCTGACTGACGGGAGCACACACCTTCTCGTGCACAGCAGGCCAGCGGTTTGAGCGAGGCGGCCTGGGCACGGCGGCGAACACCAAGACTTCGAAACTGCCAGGCCTGGATCGTGAGAATCTGTTTTTCCCCCACTGGGACCAGCGCCAGTAACTAACCCTTAACGGGCACAAGTACCAGGAACTCTGGTCTCCACGACTCAGTGAGGCAAATCCTTTATCATTTCACCGACAAAGAAAGCGAGGCTCAGGGAAGCCACGTACTGGCCTCGGGTCCCGGAGCTGGGCTTTGGGCGCTGTCGCCTCTCTTCGGACCCATGGTCCTGACCATCACGCTGTGTTCACGAAAATCAGGGTTGGCGACGCAAACGATCTCAGTGCCCTCGCCAGGCCTGCTCTACCAGCAGGCGGCAGGTGCTTTCGTACGTGTTTAATCAGCTATCACATTATTTCCATCTTCATCATCTTACAGAAACAGAAAGCGAAATCTTGTTGAATGGATTAAAGGAGCCTGAGCTGTGTTATTCCACGCTAGACTGTGGGCTTTCTAAAAGTCTGGATTTTCCAGAATTTACTGACTGATTTATTCATTCCATCATTCAGTAAAACCTGTAAACCAGGTTCTTATTAAGCAATTTATAAACGATATCTATTACCATCATTATTAATCGAGAACTAACAGCCTGATGGAGGGGGCAGACACACAAAGAACGCGCTTGGCTGAGGGGTGGTAACGCGAGCATGCGGGTGTTCCCCATGGGGCCCCTCACACCATGACGGAGAATGCCAGTGCTCAGGTAGGGACTTTCTTTAGTCACTTGTGGTGATTGATAACCATGTGAGCCAATTCCTCAGAATAGAGCTCCTTCGATATACACCCTGCTAGTTCCGTTTCTCTGGAGAATCCTGACTGACAGTCACCTATTTTTCTAAAGTCAAAGAAACTCTTTGCTGAGCTTTTTGAGTCCTTATTTAAGACAAACGATGCCCTTCTCATTATGAAGGCCACTCGCACAATGACTGGGAAACATTGGGGTCCCTTTCCCACAGGTGTGGACGGTGCTTCTTTCTTTACTCAATGGGGAAACGAGCCTTTATAAAAAGTAATACATAGAAGGCGTATGTGGCCTCCTTGAAGCGCATAAAGCACATGTTCATGAAAAATAATATACCTGGGTCAGGTAAATATAATGATCACTTTAAAATTATTGAGTTTCTTTTTTTTGGTGGATGCTTCATGCAAAAAGTTTATATTTAGCCTGTGGTGAAGTCACTGTGACCTCGGAAGAAAACAAAGCCGTGTGGCTGCACGACTTGCTCGGGTGTATAATCTCCACACAGAAAGGTCACGCCACCGTCGAGGGCATTTTGCCCGCCTCAGGTCTGAAGTACCAGATCTCCAGAGCTGAAACAGAAATCGCGGCAACAGCTCCACACAGCCAGCTGCTCAGAAAGGCCCCCTTTCCAGAAAGTTATTAAAACGAGGCTGAAAGGAGGGCAGCTACTGACTCGCTCCTCCGTGAAATGTCAGACTGTCCCCAGTCGGCGTCTCACAAGGGCATTCCGCCACACGCCTCCTTGGTGTTTATGCGACGGAAAGGTTAAGAGGAAGAGATTTTC